ACACAGACGCTCCGTGGGCGGACGACGCTGAGACGCTCTGGTCCTCCCATGGCTACTTAGCCTTGTTGCAGGCACTATCTCATGGAGGTCCACCCGCTCGTCTTTTGTTGCATGGTCTAGCTGTGAGTCTGATATTTATGCTGGTGCCATGGCGGCATAGGTGCTCAGTCTTGCTGACGTTCTTGCTCGCTGACTTAGGTGAGCAGCCTAGCTCTGTCCCGGTCCTGTACGCTGACAACAGGGCCATGATCCTTTTGCATCAGGAGGCTCGGCTGGAGGGCTGAGCGAAGCACATCCTGCTGCGGTACTTCCTTCTGCACGAGCTACAGCATCGCCGCTAGGCCCGCGTAGTACACTTGCCCTCCGGTGCCAACATAGCTGACATCTTTACTAAGGTGCTTGCGCCTAAAGATCACCAGCGTGTACAGCTTGGTCTAGTTCCAATAGCGCCTCACAAGCTAGGACCCTGGTTGTGTACTACTCTTTTTATATTTTCTTGACTGGCCTTGTGGCTCTTGTTCCAGTGGCCGGACTAGAAGTGCCGCCCTGGGTTGCTCTTGTCTAGTTTGTACGCTTCTGACTGGTCTTCAGACCCTTGCCTCAGAGGTTGGACAAGTAATTCCGCCCTGAGATGTGTCTCTCTTGCTAGGCACTGCCCCTTGTCTAGCCTAGGGGGTGTGTCGACTTGTATTCATATGTTGTTATAGGCTAGATAGGTGTGTGCTCGTAGAGAGTACGACACACTAGCACAAAACCACCTTGTATGCTCGTTTCTACTCAATGCGTTATTCTAAGATGTACATGTCTAGCCTATAACTAGACATACATTACAAATGTGTAAGTTGACATACATGCCCTAATTTCTGATTGCTATTGACAATCCTCCGAAACTCCCCCCGTTACTTTAAAATTTTGGCCGAGTCCTGAAGGCTGAAGACAACCCTCAAAAACTCCCCCGCTACTCTAAGTTCTCGGCTGAAGTCCAAACTTCCAATGGAACTCCGCCGCAACTCCTCCAAAAATTCAGTCTGGCAGTCGGACAAAAAAAAAAATCCGGGTCTGATTTCCTGCGTCCACTGCAGGTAACAAAAACTCGGGCAATTGTGGCTAAGTCCTCAACCCAACACAGCAAGTAAGGCACCAATGCGCTATAAATTGACTTCGCAACATTTCCGGTGCTTCCGAATTTACCCTTGAGGCCACAGTATAAAAGTGGAAAACTACCCTGAGGAATCAGTTTGAGCATAAGCGACCAACCCTGACTGCTACACGTTTTTTAAGGCGCTAACCCTGAGTGGTCATGATGTTAGGTTATCGCGAGAATCAATGGACTAAGGGGAAATGTCGAGAGATACAAAACAAGGGTTGTACTTGCTAAGAACTGAACTCGCTAGGCTACAAACAAATATGACCTAACTAATCTATACAAATATATTTGTTGACACACCCCCTAGCCTAGATAGTAGCAGTTCATAACAAGGCAGAGTACACCAGGGCAGCACTAATAGTCTGACCTCTGGGCAACTCAAGACAGCACTTCTAGTCTGACCACTAAGACAAGAGGCCACAAGGCCAGTCAGCAAGAGTAGCAAGGCAAGCAGGTATAGAACAACAAGTGCAAACAAGTATAGTATGACTCTGGATACAAGGAGCGCTGCTGCTACAGAGACTAGACAAAGCTGAGTACTGAACCGCCGATGGTCACGAGGCGGTAGTGCATTGGTGAAGATGTCAGCGGTGTTGGCCTCTGAGGCCAGCTGTACCACACGAGCCTAACCACGCTGCTGCAACTCACGCAGCAGGAAGTGCTGCAGCTGGATATGCTTCGCCCTGCCCTCAAGTCGAGCCTCCTGACACAAGAGGATCATGGCCATGTTGTCAGCAAACAGGACCGGGCAGACCTAGACTGCTCACCTAAGTCAGTGAGCAAGAACGTCAGCCAGCGGAGCTCCCGAGTGGCCATGGCCCCAGCGTAGATCTCTGCCTCACAACTTGACTGAGCTATAGATGACGACCTGATGGACCTCCACGAGACTGCCCTAGCACCAAGACTAACACAAACCCTGAGACAAAATCAGCGTCTCCTTGTCGTCAGCCCATGTCACGCCTGTATGTCCAGTGAGCAACACTGGCTCCCCTCCTCCTACCACAAGCCCCATTCATGATGTACTTACCAAATACTGCAATACCCTCTTGGCAGCCGACCAATGAACTAGTCGGTGCCTGCCTGTCGCAAGAAAGTGACCCAGAAGACTGAGAGGGTACGCTAGATCTGGTCGAGGGCAGGTCATCAGGTACATGAGGCACCCCACCAGTTCTGCGTATGGACCATTAGCCTCGACCGGCTCAGTCGGAACAGGAGCAGAGACCTTGTGATCCACAGACAGAGGGGTGGGCTGTGCTGAGGAGAACTGGAGACTGAACCTCTGGAGGATCTGTTGCACCATATGGCACTGGGAGTGTGAGATCTTGCGAGCGGCACGGTCACGAGAGATCTCCAAGCCCAGATAGCGCCTCAACTGCCCCAAGTCTGTACAGGTGTATCTTCTAAGTAACTCGGTCTTCACTGAGGCCAGTGCGACTCTGTCAGGAGTAAAAAATATAAGATCATCTACGTACACTAGGATGTAGAACGGTGTCTGACGTGTGCCATCAAAGAGAGAGGGATCAGCAGAGGACAGAAAGAACTGCGACTCAGCAAGAGTGGTGTGTTGCGTGTTGTGCCACTTACAAGGTGTCTGGCAAAGGCCTTAGACAAGACGGCACAGGCTCCACTCTGTCCCAGGTGTGAAGGACCCAGAGAAGCCTAGAGGGTGCCGGGGGTAGATCTTCTCATGCAGGAATGTTGTAGAGAAGTCGAGTGAGTGAAGCTCGCACTCACGCTGCGCAGCTATGTGGAGAAAGACCTGAAGTGTAGTCATCTTGAGGGTCAGGGAGAAGGTTTGGAAGAAGTTCACACCCTCACGTTGACAGAAGCCTCTCCAAGTGTTCGCCTCACCTGTTGATCCACATGCCATCGACTACGTTCGTCCCAGGCGGGGGAACTGCGTCGACGTAAGTGCCTGTGGATCCGCAGGATGTCATCTCAGCCTCCATGGTGTGTATCCATTAGGCTGCCTAGGGCCCCGACACCACCTCAGCGTAAGAGCGCGGAACATGAATGTCGAGAGCGTCTGGGTCGTCCTCTGGGGATACAAGCATGGAGCAGAGATGGGAAACAATGGCAGCAAGGTAGGCCAAATCGTACTGCTTGTCCTGTAGCACGTCACTGCCAAGGGCAGGTGCACCCCCGACGGATGGAGGATGGGCAGTACCACAGACCAGAGCTGCAGCGTAGTCAAGGTGGTGGCTAGCAGCAAAGTCAGCGACAGCAGCGACAAGAGGAGAGAAAGAATCAGAAGGAGCAGTAAGGTCAGTGACAAGCGACGCAAGCAAGCGCGAGAGGGTAGTACGAGCAGTACGAGCAGCGTCGGAGTGAGGAGGAAGGGATTGCGGGAGCGACGACGGAGGAGGTAACGGAAGCACGGGGATTGGAGAAGCAAGAGAACGGAGGACCATAGGGTGTACAGTACGACGGGGTGAGACAGGACGAGCATCAGAGGGGCGGCGGACCCAGTGGTGAAGAACTGGGTACTAGGGACGAGGGGGAATGGGGGACAAGTCCGGGGACGGAGGGGAGCGCGGGGGAAAACGAGCCGTAGAGGAGTCCAGAGGAGGTAACAATGAGCCGTAAACAGGGTCACGCACCAAAGGGGGAACGGGCGGGCGGATAGGGGAACCTGGAGCAAGACCAATGAGATGAAGGGCAGACTGCGGCTGCTCCTACGGCGGCGGCTACGCCTGCTGCTGCTGGTGCGGCTGCTCCATGCCCTCTCCAGGACCTCCAGTGGCACCACGGCTGCCACCGGCACTCCCCGAAACAGCAACCCCAAGACTAGCACCCTCGAACGCACCACCCACATAACCAGCACCCCCAGAACTCGCACCCCCAGAACCAGCAACCTGAGAGTCAGCACCCCCAGAGATTGCACTCCTAGAACCAGCACTCCCAACACCAACTCCACCAACACCAGCAACCCCAACACCAACACCGCCAACACCAGCCACCCCAGAACCAGCACCCCAAGAGCCCACTGCTCCCTGCTGCTGCTGCGGCTGCTACGGCCGCTGAATCTGCTGCGGCAACGGCTGCTGCTGCTGAGGCAAGGGAGGAGGCGGCTGAGGTGCCTGGGGTACCGAGGCTGGGAGAGGTGCCAGAGGGACAGCAGGCGCCCCCCCAAGAGCTGGTCCCCCAGAGTCAGCCGACTCCCCCATAGGCCCAACCGAGGGGAACTGAATTTAGAGGCCCTGGTATGGGGTAGGTTGAAACTGAAATGTTTTTTGGAGCCTGCTGTGGGTATTTATAGCTGTATGTAGTGGTGAATCCACTCGGCTGCCTTGCGCCAAACCTTAGGATCACTTGGAGCATTTCTCACATTCGTGTCAACTTGAAAGTTGAAAGAATTTGAAAGGTGGTGCAGGAGACTAAGTATAGAATCTGCAGACACAAGTACTTGAAGTAGAAAAGTAATACTGGAAGTACCTCCAGTAACATCCAGTATTAACAAGTTGTAACACCAGAGTCACTGTTACAGCCTTGCGATACTTGAAAACTTAACCAAGGATCTTTGCTGAATGGTAGACTTAGTAAGACAGCAAAAGTCTTAGAACTTGTAAAGTGTTGACCAGAATTTACTGAAGAACAAGTTCGTAATTGAAGTTGTACAAACTACTTTTATGTCTGCCAGAAGTACCCATTCGGTGATGTACTTGTTCGAGCTGTATGCGCTATGCGCTCTAACCGCTACTGAAAAGAGCGCGACTGTTTGCGTGACTGAAACGGCTTGCTGACATAACCATCCAGACGAGAGCTATTTGCTGACGTCATTCTACGGATGCTAACTACAGTGTAACTCGACAATATCTATCAGTGTTAGAATACGTGAATGTTTTACTAGAGGGGATAACAGGGAACATATAGCAGTTGGGTTGTACTCACTAAGAGCACACACCGATACTAGCCTATAACTTCTACATTCATGATATGTATAAGTTGACAATCGGAACTACTTACAGAATGCTTAAGTACGATTTTAGCACAACAAAAGTATGGTAGCTTCAGCATTTGGTTGGAGATTCTACTCAAAACGGCATGACATGAAATGACAAATGGCACACTGCCTAGAGTTTGAGGTTCGCCTCTGAAATGAACCACCTAATGTGCGTTGAAGATGCCCTGCCCCTTGGACATGTTAGGCTGCAAGGAAGTCTTCCCCACATCCGTCAGCCTGGCCTCCCTCCCAGCCCGTAATGTCCTTTTCTTGGCCCCCGTGATTGTTGCGGTGTACAGTTAGCATGACAGTTGCTGCTAGCACAGTGCGGCTCTAGGATCGATGTATGGGGTGTTATGCAATGCCCCTTCAGATGCAATGCTGAACCACCTGTTTGCAATGCTTAGTGGCATTGTTTGCTGCCCTGCTTGCAGCCGTCACTTAGTGGCATCTGTCTGTCTGTACCACTTGCTGCTTCTGTCACTCTGAAGCACTGGGAGGAGCGGGATACAACGGGGCTCCTTGCACTCCCAACCCAACTTGTCGTCGCTTGCCTCCAAGCTGAATCAGAACTGACGTTGAATCACTCATGCTCGGCGTTGACATCTTCACACTACTCCCAGTGCTCCCATTGCTTCCAGTGCTCCACATGTTCCCAATGTTCCCAATGCTCCCTCTGCATGTTCACGTTGCCAGCTAAACCACTTGTGCCGTGTGCATGCGAACCACTCGTGTGAGCCCCTCATCCCAGCACATCCCCATTCTCTTGCACCATCAGCAACTTCCAAGCATTCTGAAAAGCTGATGGACCTGCTGCCCGCCCTTGCTGCATTGCCTCCTCAGCCTTCTTCCTCTTCTGCCCAACCTGCTGCCCCTGCTGCTGCTGCTGCTGCTCCTGCTGCTCTTGCTGCTGCAACCCCACCTTGGCCTTCTTCCCCGCCCCCCTCACTCCCTCTGTGTGCTCGTTCCCTCTCGTCCTCCTCTTCTCCTTCTGGCCCATGCCTACACTATACCCTGCAACGTCACGACGACTAGCAGCCACGCCAGTAGCACCCACAGCGGTAACCGTATCCGCATCAGCAGCAGCAGCAAGAGCACCCGCAGCACCAGCAGAACCGCCACCAGCAGGTGCTGCAGCAGCAGCAGCAGGAGGGGGAGGAGGAGGAGGAGGCTGCAATGCATGTATCTGCTGTGGCCAAGCAGGCATACCTGGGGGAGGGGCGGACTGGGGAGGGAAGGGCTGGGAGGATGGGTAGGGTGGGAAGGGAGGGTAGGGTGGGTAGTAGGGGTAGGGCTGGTAGGGAGGGAGACAGGGTTGATATGCTGGGTAGGGTGGAAACGGTGGAGTATTTCGATGGGATAGAGGGGGGGTGCGGGATGAGACTAACGCCTGTGTGGCTGTTGCTGCAGGTTGCTGCTGCTGCTGCTGCTGCTGATGCTGATGCTGTCGTGTGAGCATTTGTTGAAACTGCTGCAGCAACTGCTGCTCTTGCTGCTTTGGTGCCTGCTGTTGCTGCTGCTGTTGCTGTTGCTGTTGCTGCTGGGGTGATATAAGTTGTTGTAGCTGTTGCATTAGCCGCTGCTGTTGTTGCTTTTGCTGCTGTTGCTGCTGCTGCTGTTGAAACCACGCTGTCACTGCAGCTGGTGCTGCTCCTGATGCTGCTGCTGCTGCTGCTGCGGCCACTGCTGCTGCTGCTGCGGGCGTCATGACTTCTGGTATTCCTGCTCCGTCTGCAGCCGGTATTGCTATTGCTGGCACTGCAGCTGCTGGCATTGCTGCTGCTTGCGCAACCACCACTGCTGCTGCTGCTGCTGCTGCTGCTGCGGGCCTCACTACTTCCGGTGTTCTTGCTCCTGCTGCTGCTGGTATTGCTATTGCTCGCACTGCTGCTGCTGGCGTTGCTGCTGGTGTTGCTGCTCCTGGTGTTGCTGCTGCTGGCGTTGCTGCTGGTGTTGCTGCTGCTGGCGTTGCTGCTGGTGTTGCTGCTGCTGGCGTTGCTGCTGCTGGCATTGCTGCTGCTGGTGTGTGCCATCCTCCCCCCGGCATAGGCCATCTCCCCATGTAGGGTTGCGATGGGTTGCTAGGTGAGCTGGCATGCCATGGCTGAGTGGGCACAGCAGGTTGCCATGGGGTGTTGGACGCACCAGGTCCCTGCCATGCATTACTAGCTGTGCCCGGCTGCCAGCCAAGCATGCCCGGTGGAGGCACCACTTGCTGCCAACCGTTCCCGACCCTTTGCCACACTACTCCAGGTGCTTGCCACCCAGGCCACGACTGCCACTGCTGCTGCCCCTGTTGCTGCCACTGCTGCTGCCGCCCCTGCTGCTGCCCTTGCTGCTGCCCTTGCTCCTGCCCTTGCTGCTGCCCCTGTTGATTTCCCTGTTGCTGCTGCTGCCACTGAGGCTGCTGTGGGTGCTGATTGGGGTGGTGCGGAGGGTTTGGCAAGTGGTGTGAGAGAGGTTGAACGTGGTGCACTGCCCCACTGCCGTCACTGTCCCCACCCCCACCACCATCAGCAGCACCCGCACTCCCATGACCAGTATTAGCAGCTGCACTAGCAACACAGCCATCTCTTCCACCCTTTTTCCCCTTGCCAGCTCTCTTACCGGCACCTTTCCCACCACCATCACCATCCCCATCACCGAAACTCCAGAAGCCATCCCAGTTCACCCCCTCTAGCTTCTTCGTTTTAGGGCCTGCCCCTCTGCGTCCTCTCCCCCCTCGTCTCCCTCTTCCTCTTCCTCTGCCTTCTTCTCCTCCTCCTCCTCCTCCTCCTCCTCCTCTTCCTCTTTCTCGTCCCCGTCCTCCTCTCCCCCGTCCCTTCCCTGCGCCTTCTCTCCCCTCCCCTACCTCCCCTCCCTCACCTTCTCCCACCTCCCCCGCACTATCCACCCCGTCACTGTCCGTCGCCGCACCATCCACCCTACCACAATCCCTTCCTCCTCCCTCCATCCCTCTCTCACCGCCTCCTTCCCTCGAAGCGCGTCTTTTCTCCTCATCTGCCTGCTTGCCCCCGCCCCTGCCGCCAATCCCAGGTCGGTCCTCCAGCGGGTCATAGTAGTACTGCGTGTTGAACAGAACCGTCCGCCACACTCTCGCACCCACCCCACCCCGCTTCCCACGCCCCTTCCCACCCCCGCTAACCCCGTCACCCCTGCCCGCACCATTCCCTACCACCCTGCCCGCTACTCCCTCCCCATTCCCCCCCTCCTCCCCGTCCTCCGCCTCCGCGTTCGACCCCCCCCCGCCCCTCTGCTGGGCCTCGCGCTGCTGCTTCTCCACCCAGCTGCGCCAGCGCAGGCCCTCCCTGGTGCGCAGGCGCACGCGCCACGTCTCCCCATCCAGGGCCATCAGCAGCGCCCTCACATCACGCCCATCCGCCCACTCCTGCAGGTCTATCCCCGCCTCCAATGCTGTCTCTGCTGCCTCTGTGTTTGCTGTCTCTGCTGCCTCTGCTCTCAGCCCTCTCCTTTCCCCTGAATCCCCTTTACGTGCTCCCTGTGGTGCTCCGCCCGCGCGAGTGGCATCCGTGCAACGAGCAGCACCAGAAACAGCAGCAGCAGCCGCAGCAGCAGTGGTGGTGGTGGCATGAGCGGCTGAGGGCAGTCGGTTGAGGCCAGATACGAGGCTGGGGTTGATGTCCCAGCGGTGCAGGAAAGACAGAATCCACTCGTGAGTGAGGGAGGAGGATGTGGAGGGTGGCAGGTTGCATTTGAGCAGCAGGTGATCAGCGCAGCGTCGAATTGAGGCGCCAGGGAGAGAACAAGGGCGAGTGGCAGCAAGGGTCTCTCCATCCTCGCATCTCGATCCCTGCTCCTGCCTCTTCCCCTTCTGCTGCTCCTGCCTCTTCCCCTTCTGCCACTCCTGCCCCTTCCCTCCCTTTCCCCCCATACGATAAACCTGCTCACCCCTCTGCATCCTCTCCAGCCGCCCCTTGACCCACTTGGACAACACCCTTTCCACCCGCTGCATCATGCCCCCCCTTCCCGTTCCCCTCTTCCCTCGCTCCTCTCCCTCCTCCTCCCCCTTCCCTCGCCCCTCGCCTTCTCCCTCCCCCTGCCCCTGCCCCCTGCCCTGGTCCCTCTCCCGCCCCTCCCCCCCCTCCTTGTGCCCCAACTTATTCTCCAGCCTCTCCCTAATCCTCTCCTCCCACCCCGCGCCCAGCAGCTCCTCCCTCTCCTGCCATATGAGCGCCAGGTCCGCCTCACCCACGTGCACGCCCCACGTGTCCCCCACGGCGCGCACCACCACTGCCTGCTCGCGCTCCTCCTCCTCGTCTGGCCGCCTCCCCACCACCCCCTCTGCTATCCACTCGCACAGGGCCCGCCGCACCGCCGCCACCACCACTGCTGCTGCCGGCTCTGCTGCTACAGCACCTACCCCTGATGATGTACACGTGGCAGTTGCTGACTCGTGTGCTGCCTTCGCCCCTCCTTCCGCCCCCCTTCCACCATGAGCAATACCACTGTTGGCACTGGACAACTCTAGCCCTCGCCTTCGTGTCAATTGACTCTCCCACGCGTCAACCTCCCCCATGCGCGCCCCCCCCAATCGGCCCTCCCCCATGCGATCCTCGCTCGCCTGAACTTCAACCTGGTGCCTTTCCACACGCTCTAGAAACCCCCTTCTCCAATCCTCCTCCTCCTGGCTGGAGCATCTGGTGTCTCCTGAGTCGTCCCCTGCCACCCCTGCACCACTTGCACCTCTATCCAGGTGCTCCTTGCTGGCTTCACACACGCCCAAGTCATCCCATGCATCCCACGGCTCAACCTTTCCATGCTCCCCTTGCCCTATCCCCCCCTCACCCCGCCCATCCTCCCTCAACAGCCGTTCCACTTCCTCCTCCATCTCCTCATCCTCAACACCCTCCCCCTCCCCTCTCTCTCCTCTTCCTCCTGCCATTCCCATCTCTCCCCCCTCCTCACCCTCCCTCCGAGCCTCCGTTCCTCGAGAATCCGCACACAGCCGTTGCTCCCTGGCAGGGAGGAGTGCTCGCTTCCTCTCCCCCGCGCCCTGTCGCTCCACGGCTCTGCACTCCGCCACCACTTGCGCGAACTTGGACTTTTCAGGCGCCTCAAAGGCCCTCCCCCCCGCACCCTGTTGTTGCATGGCTCTGCACTGCGCCAGCAAGTGCACGAACTTGGAGCACCAGCTGTACGCGTACTTGAAGCTTGTCACCACGCCCACAATGGGCCCTATCCTCTTGGCCACCTCTATAATCACCTCTTTTGACAGCACGTACCGCACGCTGCGGCTGCTACCGCCACTCCCACCGCCACCAACAGCACCAGGAGCAGCAGCAGCGCCCCAAACACCACCACCGCTGCCACTCCCACTCCCCCCAGCACGACCACCCCCAGCAGCAGCAGCAAGGCTTGACGGCCAGCAGACAGCCTCCCAGTAGATCTTGATCCCCGCGCCCAGGCCCTCCACCCACCGCGCCAGCGCCACCTCCAGCAGCCTCGTAGCCCTCAGGCGGGGGCGCGTGAGCAGCGGCAGGGACAGGCCCTCGGGCAGCTGCAGCCACCGGTGCCTCTGCGCCAGAATGGCCATAAGCACTCCGGGACTCATGCTCACGCCCCACGCCCGCTGCACCGCCTTCAGGATGTTCACCTGGCTCAGGCTCGGCCGGGCCTGCACCACTAGGCACACCGCCCGCACGCGGCTGAGCGTGATTCCCTCTAGCACGCGTGTTTTCTCCGGCCCCTCGCCCTGCTTCCCCCGCCGCAGCGGCTGCGACAGGTAGATGAGGCGCTGTGCTGTGCCGTGCCCCGCAACCCCGCTGTGCTGCTCCTCAACACCCATGCTGGCAGGGCTCCGCTCAGCTCCTAATAGATCCTCCTGGACAGAGGGTTTTTTCTTGGGGGCTGTGCCGTGATTCTCGTCGGCACGCGTGGCGGCGTCTAGTGAGCCGGGGGAGGAGGCGTGTATGAGGAGGGTTTCGGTGGGGAGCGTTGTGCGGTAGGCACGGCCCATGCACGACACGCGCTCGCACAGGAACCAGCTCGACCCGTACCCCGGCTCACCCCTCGCACTGCTCGCTTTGACGGTCGCTCCCGTGCTCGCCCTCCCGGGTGGCGACCCCTTACCGCCAGACGTCCCTCTTTCGACCCCCTTGTCTGCACCGGCTTTCACCGTTTCCCCAGCGCCGGCCCCTGTCCCCTCTCCCCCTGCCTCTACCCTACCCTCTCCTCCGCCGTTTACGTTTCCCTTTTCGCCTCCCTCTCCCCTCCCCACCTCCCCTGCCTCTGTCCTCTCTCCTGCCCCTGCCTCTGCGCCTCTTCCCTGCACCCCTCGCTCGTCTTCACTCAAATCATCCGCCTCCATTGCCTCTCTTCCCTTCTCACCCTCCCCACCTCCCACCGCTCCCACGCCCCCCCCTCTCCCCACCTCGCTCACACCCTCCCTCCTCTCCCTCCTCCACCGCCCCCGTCCTCTCCACGCAAGCAGCCCCTCCTCGTCCCGAAGCCACAGCTTGCTGCCATACCCCGCAGGGCCCCGCACAAGCAGCCCCGCGTCGATCACCGCCTCTTCCACCACATCCCTTTGGAACTCCCTCACTGCCTCCTCTGCTGCGCGCCTGGCAGCCGCTAGCGCAGCAGGGAAGTGCCTGCTGCCCACCTGCAGCTCTACCACCACCTCCACGGGTTTCTTCTTCCATCTACCCTCCCCCTCCCACCCGCCACTCTTTCCCTGCCCTGCCTCCTCATCCTCCTCTTCACTCCCCTCCTCACTCTCATCGTCATTCTCCTCATTCTCCTCCTCACTCCCCCTCTCACTCTCCCCCCCACTCTCCTCATCGCTCTCATCTTCCCCCCCCTGGCTGTCGCTCGCGCTCCCGTCACCCCCCACGTGCTCGTGCTTCCCCCAGCCAGTCACCAGCTTCTCGGCCGCCCTCGCCCTCTTGCGCGCCCTGCCTCCTTTCCAACCCCTACCAGTCTCCCCCTTCCACCCTCTGCGCCTCTTCGTCTTCCCCACCCCTTTCAATCCCACAGCACTCCCCCCCACATCCTCAACCCCTCCCCCTCCCCCACCACCACCACCGCCCTGCATGGCCCCCCGATCCTCCAATCGTTGCTGCATAGCCCCGTTCCCATCCCCACCATTACTCTCCTCTCCCTCCCGCACTTCCCCAACTCCTCTCTCTCCCATCCCTCCCTTCTCCACACCCCCATCCTTCTCACACCCCACAACTTCCTCCCCACCTTCCCCCATGTTCCCCACACACGCGCCCTTCTCCTGCCCAACCCCCCTCTCTCCCCTCCCAACATCCCCATCCCCGGACTCCTCACTCCCACTCCCAATCCCAATCCCCTCCCCACCCTCTCCCCCGCCCTCCCGCCCCTTCGGCCCATCAGTCAGCGTGAGCAGCAGCAGCCCATACCTCCTCATGAACACCGCCACCCATTTCTGCGTCAGGGGCGCTCTCATCGTGGGCAGATACTTGCCCGCCAGGGCATTTCCCTTCTCCAGAATCCTCTCCCTCGTCACCTCCCTCCGCCGCACCTCCTCCTCTCTCAACACCCACGCCGCCACCTCGTCCTCCAGCCGCACCATCTCCACACTCCCTGCAGGGACCGCCCCTGCCTTGATCCACTTGCGGCTCTCCTCCACTATCTTCTGCACCTTCTTGGGGGTCACATCCACGCCGTACTTGGATAAAACCACTGCGGAGACCACCTTGTTGCTTAGGTACGGCCGCACGCATTTGAGGGCGGCGATTTCGTACTTGATCTTGACGTCCAGCGGCTGGTTGAGGCGCTGGCTTGGCAGGCACAGGGTGGCGGCGCTTCTGGTTCTGGAGCCCAGGAAAGGGTGCCTCCACTTCTCCCCACCAGCGGGCCCTTCCCTGCTGCCTTGCGCACCCACCTGCCCACCACCACTCCCTTCACCAACACCACCAGCAGCACCAGCAGCAGCAGCACCAGCAGCAGCAGCAGCAGCAGCAACCCCTCCACCACCACCATCAGTTGCCTCCATACCAGCAACACTTCCCTTCCCTTGCGTGCCTCTTCCCTTCTCCATCCCTTCATCCCACACCTTTTCACCTTCTAACCCCCCTCCCATTTCCCCACTCCCATCACCCCCACCCTCCTCCTTCTTTATCCCCTGCCCGTAAAACTCGTTCCCGCTCCTATCCAGCCCCGCATCCTCCAGCACCATTCTGCACCACTCCGTAGGGTACTGGAACCGCGGCGGCACGCCATATCTCGCCCCAATCTCCTTGGCGTACGTGCTAACCCTCGTCAACGCGACAATCCGTCCAGGAACCTTCAGCGCCTCTTCCTGCGCCTCGGTCTCGCGCACCCACCGCACGATCTCCGCTTCCAGCGCCGCGTGCTGGTACCGGTCCGTGCTGTTCTTGCCGCAGAGCACCCACTGCTCGCCAGCGGCGCGCTGCGCGATGGAGTGGACGTGGTACGCGCGGATCCCCACGGCGAACCGCTTGTTAACCGCCGCCGCGACGTGCGCATCGTCCAGCTCCGGGTGCGCGCGCTTCAGCGCGACGATCTCGCGCTGCGCCACCGCGCTGATGGCGGGTAGGCCCCCGCGCGCGGGATACGCGATCCGCTTCGGCGCCGGGGCTTCCCCCACTTGCACGGCCGCCTGTGCGGCTGCCTGCCCAGCCGTTGGGGCATCCGTTGGGGTAACCGATGGAGCAGGCATTGGGGCCACCGCCTGCGGAGGAAGGCCAATTGGTGCGTCGGAGGTGGCGTTGGGTGGGAGGGAACAATGGGAGGAAACGCCCTCTCTTCCTAGTACCTGCTGCTCACTCACGCTTCCACTTACGTGCCCTGCTTGCATCCGCCGCCGCCGCTGCTGCTGCTGCTGTTGGCGCTGGTGCCCGCCACCCACTCCTAGCTGCTTTGCGGGGCCGCTGCTCATTGTAAACGGGCAGCTGTGATTCTGAGACCACCACCTATCTGTGAAACTCCTATTTCCGACAGTTCAAGCCAGACAAGTCTCGAACGGCGTGCTTGCCTAAGCCTGAACTCCGTGTCAAAATGACAGGGCTGTTAGCTCTCGCGCTACCTTCGGCTCCCTTCGACACGAGCACGAATGCTACACCTCGTGTCGCGCCTCGCACGCTTGCGCCAGAATGGACCCGACACTCTATTTGAGACAGGCCTATTAGAGTAAAGCAGCTTCGCGAGAAAGGGCTACAAAACAAACGTCCTCGCTAAAAAAGGAGAGGGTCGCATGACTTGGCTTCTGGGCTCTGGGAAGCTAGACTAGAGCAGAGAGGCAGCGAATGGTTCCCCCGAGTCGCACAATTTGAGTTCAAATTGGCTGGCCAGTTGGAGGGAAAACAGAGATACAGTATGGAGTTGGACGAGTTTTAGGTTGTTAGCAGTGGCACAACAAAGGAAGGGACAGCATCGTCCAAGGTGGTAGCAAGATCGCAACCCTCTCGTCTCAATCAACTCTCCAACGACGCCTGTGAATTGCACAAAGCAAACCCTAGGACTGCTTGAGTACGAATCTTGGTTTGCTTGGGAAAAGTCGGACGCTGTTCGGGGTCAGGTCTTATCGGCCACGTCATCAGTCAGCCAGGTGGTGGTTCCAATTCGCCTTCATTGACGGAGAGGCCAATATTGTGACGTGGTAGGTTGTACTGTACACTGCGACTGATAGGGCCACTTGTTCCAAGGGGAGCAAGGAAATTACCCGACAAATGAACAGCCATGGACTGCTGACGTGTCAGATGAAGAAACAATGGTTGTTCCCCGACACGCAGTGCTTGACGTACACTTACTTCGTCATAAGCACATCAAGAGTCTTTCCTTGTTTGCAAGCCTCAAGGGAGGACAACATGTTACACGATGTGATCCACTTAATCTAGACATATTATACATGACATTAACGTTGAGAATAGGTAAGGAACATCAATATTAGCAATTTTCACTGTCCATTTTTCTATGAAGTTTATAATAATATATTCAAATTATTGGTATGTATAATATATTAATAACGCAAATATATTTTACATAACAGAAAAATCAAGTTATTGAAGTAAATTTTGTTTTCATATGCCAGATTTTGTACTCTTAATGCATTGTATAAGTGGAATTATTTTTTTAAGATATTGAAGTAACTAATTTGATAAGTCAAATGCAGGTACCGGTAGTTGAAACCGTATGCATGACGTCTTTTGTATTTAATATATATTATTCACTTTTCATATATATATTCTGTGATATCTTTTATCCGTTTTAAATAACTCAATAAATCGCATAAAATTTATTTGTTTCATGTCATGCTAAATGAACATTTGAGCACTTCAAACATATAGCACACAATATATTTTATCGTACGAGGCAGCCACGGGCTGAAGTGTTGATATTTGGTGAACGCGCTAAAGAGAATGATCAGACTACTCTATTCAGCGTTCGTCTCTGTGAACTAGATCTCACCTCGCTGACTGGGGCAAACCTTGAGTGACACTCTGGAACTACAGCACAAACTGCATGGGCGACAGCCCGCCATTGTACCTAGACTGAGTTCGCCAGATCGCCTCGCCTTGTGAGGGCAACTAGTAACTCTACCTGCCGGCTCGCCAGCCTAGCACGTGTGCCCCCGGCAGCAGCCCGCCGCCGTCACCGAGCGCCTCCCTGGCCCAGCGTGAGGGGCTGGCATCCGGCGCCACCACGTGTATTCGGCCAGGGGCAGTAGCGGGTGTCGGCATTGCGGATGGCAGGCGGGCTGTTGCAGGGGCGGGGGCCTGGCGCGCTGCTTCCCGAGAGCATGAGTCCCGCGGCGTGGTCCAAGTTTGCGCCCTTGCTCCTCCTCGCGGCTTCCGCCGTGCTCTTCGCCGCCTCCTTCGCCCTCCGCTTCTCCTCCCCCGATTCCCGTAAGCCCGCGCCCCTCACTCCGCCGATTTCCCCACGCGCTGCCCCGCCCCGCCTCGCATTCACCGTCCGATGATCTCGTTCTGGCCTTTGGTGGAGCGCAGCGACTTCCCCCTTCCCGCATTCCCGCCCGAGCACTTCCCCCTTCCCCGCGCGCATCCCGTGCCTCACACTGGCCTGCCCCGCAATGTCTGGCGCATTGACTGGCGCATTGACTGGCGCATTGACTGGCGCATTGACTGGCGCATTGACTGGCACATTGACTGGCGCATTGACCGGCGCATTGACCGGCCCGCTGGTCTCCCCCAAACCTGCTAGTTGACCGCACACCCTGCGTCCTTGCTCCCTCTTGCCTTCCTCCCCGCGCCCTCCGCGCCCCGCACTGAACCCCCTCCCCCCCCCACGCCTTCCCCCCGACGCCATGCAGCGCTGGGCGGTAGCGGGCTGCTGCCGGACCTCGCGCACATGGACCCCGGCGGCAGCAGCTCGGGCAGTGGCAACGGCACGCGCTTCCTGATCAGCAACTTCGGGCTGCCGGGGCCCGTGCCGTGGGAGTGGATCCGAGACAGCGTGCAGCAGCAGTTCACTCTGGGGGGGCGCGTGCAGGTGCGCGCGGGTGTGGGAAGGGAAGGGGGATGTGGTGGGGGCTGTGGGGTTGCGGGGTTGGTGGTGCCTGCTGTCACGGGTAGGGAGGGAGGGATGGGTTGAGGGGATACAGACACAAAAGTGGGGAGAGGCGAGGGTAAGGGAGAGGGGGGCGTGGAGGGGGGGAGAGGGAGAGAGAAGCAACGTGAGAGGGAAACGAAAGGTGGAAATGGAAAGTGAAGCAGAACATAAAAAAGTGGAAGCGAGGGGCTCACTGGGGCAGGGTGGTTGAAGTTGGGGTAGAGGGCAGCGAGTGGGGTGTGGGATGGAGGGCGATAAAGAGGGAAGAGGAAGAGGGGACACGGGGAGAGCGTGGAGTGAGGGGAAAGGGGGGGGGAGGGGGGAGACGTGGAATCCACTGGACGCCTGCCACGCCCTTGCATGTGCTCTTCGTCAGCATTAAACCCCTCCTCCTCCCCTCCCCCCTCCCTTTTACCCCCCGCTCCTCCTCCTCCCTGCCAGGTGGTGAGCTATTTCTTGGACAAGGACGCACCTGACTCGGGCGCCAAGCCCTTCGAGTGGTCCAACGAGGGCATCGAGCAGCAGGTCGCCATGACGCGCCGCCGCGATGCCAACTTCGGGTCATACAAGCCCAAGGACACAGCAGCGTTCTTCTCGGCGTTTGACAAGTACCCGCTGCGCAACAAGTCTGTGCTGGTCGTCGGCAGCCAGTGGCCGTGGGTGGAGGCCATCTGCCTGGGCTTCGACGCGGACGCCATCACCACCGTTGATTTCAACCGGCCCGTGGCGTCGCACCCGAAGCTGCGGCAGCTGGTGGTGGGCGAGCTGGAGGGCAGCAGCGAGATGTGGGACGTGGCCGTGTCGTACTCGTCGCTGGAGCACGACGGGCTCGGCCGCTACGGCGACCCCATCAACCCCTACGGCGACCTCCAGCGCATGCAGAAGGTGGGCGCATGCACAAGGTGGGCGCATGCACAAGGTGGGCGCATGCACAAGGTGGGCGCATGCACAAGGTGGGCGCATGCACAAGGTGGGCGCATGCACAATGTGGGCGCATGCACAATGTGCGAGCATGCACAATGTGGGTGCATGCACAATGTGGGTGCATGCACAATGTGGGCGCATGCACAATGTGGGCGCATGCACAATGTGGGTGCATGCACAATGTGGGCGCATGCACAATGTGGGCGCATGCACTATGTGGGTGCATGCACAATGTGGGTGCATGTACAATGTGGGTGCATGCACAATGTGGTTGCATGCACAAGGTGGGCGCATGCACAATGTGGTTGCATGCACAAGGTGGGCGGATGCACAATGTGGGCGCATGCACAATGTGGGCGCATGCACAATGTGGGCGCATGCACAATGTGGGCGCATGCACTATGTGGGTGCATGCACAATGTGGGTGCATGTACAATGTGGGTGCATGCACAATGTGGTTGCATGCACAAGGTGGGCGCATGCACAATGTGGTTGCATGCACAAGGTGGGCGCATGCACAATGTGGGCGCATGCACAATGTGGGCGCATGCACAATGTGGGCGCATGCACAATGTGGGCGCATGCACTATGTGGGTGCATGCACAATGTGGGTGCATGTACAATGTGGGTGCATGCACAATGTGGTTGCATGCACAAGGTGGGCGCATGCACAATGTGGTTGCATGCACAAGGTGGGCGCATGCACAATGTGGGCGCATGCACAATGTGGGCGCATGCACAAGGTGGGCGGGCACCTGTTTGAGCTGAGCCAATCAAATCTCGGGTCTGCTATAGGCGGGCTGCTTTTGAGTCAACTCAAAAGCGCAGCAAGGGAGGGAGTGGTACCACTGTGTGTAACCTGCTGTGCACTCACTCTGCTCGCCCTTCTCCTCGCGGCCCATCCCAACCCCCCCCCCCCAGATCAAGGGTCTGCTGAGGCCAGGCGGGCTGCTGTTCCTGGGGGTGCCGGTGGGCAACGACACGCTGGTGTACAACGCGCACCGCATCTACGGGCCCCTCCGCATGCCCCTGCTGCTCGCGGGATGGCGCCTGCTGGACGTGTTTGGGGTGAGCAGCCTGGAGGACCTCTACAAAGAGAACTTCACTATTGATGTTGTGCAGCCGGTGCTCGTCCTCGCCGTGGATGATAAGGCAGGGGGAGATGTCTGATTTGTGTCTCAAAACTCATGTGTTGGGTCAACTTCAAGGGTGAGCAGAGCAGCCCGGACGACCTGTGCCGAGAGCCTCCTCACCGCTGAGGTGGTGCAGTTGCTGCTCGTGCTCACGGTGGGCGGTGTCAATATATATACGTTATATATATATTTATATATGTTTGTAGGCTGGCTAGGACCATACCATAGAGAGTACAACACTTAGAACAAAACTACCTGGTATGCCCTATTCTAGTCAATTTGTTACCTTCCGATGGTATCACGCTAGGCTAGGTCCTCCTCGCCCACCCGCGCTTCCACCTTAGCCCTAGTCCTAGCCCTAGTCTTAGCTCTAGTCCTAGCCCTAGTCCTAGCCTGCAGGCCCCGCTCGTCGTCCCGCGCTCGCTGGCCAGCACTCGTCGCCCCGCGCTCGTCTCCCCGCGCTCGTCGCCCCGCGCTCGTCTCCCTGCGCTCGCAGGCCCGCCCTCGGAGCCCCGCGCTCGCTGGCCCGCCCTCGTCACTCAGCGCTCGCTGGCCCAGCTCGTCGCCCCGCGCTCGTAGGTCCGCCCTCGTCGCCACGCACTCGCTGGCCCGTCCTCATCGCCCCGCACTCGCTGGCCCACGCCCACTGGCCCTGCGCTCGCTGGCCTGCGCTCGCCGGCTCCGCGCTCACTGGCCCCGCGCGGACCGCTCCCCCCACCTAGCTTGCTGGCCCCTCGTTAGCCGGCCCCGAGCTCCCCAGCCCCTTGTTCGCCGGCCCGTAGCTAGCCGGCCCCCCAGCTCGCCGGCCCCTCACTAGCCGGCCCCTTACTAGCCGGCCCGTCACTAGCCGGCCCCTTCCTTGCCGGAATCCCTCGCGCTGACCCCGGTCCCGCCATGCCGCCGTGCCACAGTGGAGCCGTGCCGCGGTGCCGCTGTGGCGCCGTGACGCCGTGCCGCTGTGGCGCCGTGACGCTGTGCCGCTGTGTCGCCGTGCCGCCGTGCCGCCTTGCCGCTGTGCCGCCATGCCGCTGTGCCGCCATGCCGTCGTGCCGCTGTGTCGCCGTGCCGTTGTGCCGACGTGTCGCCGGGTCACCGTACCACTGTACCGCCGTGCCGCCGTCAGCCGCTGAGGTCGTGGGATGGCGGACGCTGTGCTCCGCCTGGACGCGGAGGGTCAGGTCATCGACTTTGAGGCCTGGCTCGTTGACCTTCGCCGTCACCCGACAGGTCAGTGCCAGGAGGGGTCCTCTCTAACTGTTCATGTCGATGGTCTGCTTCCCCGTCCCGCCGCGCCTACTGCCTTCCCTGATGGCCCCACACCTGTTGAGCGTGAGACATTTTCCGCTGCTGCGCTTGCTCGTGCTGTCTGGGAGTCGCGCGATGCCGTAGCGCAGCTTGCTATTAGTCACGCCCTCCCCCTGTCTGAGCGTCCCCGCTTTACCATTGTTGCGAACGCCAAGGAATTCTTAGATGCAGTCGTTGCACGCTATTCCACGCCCGCCACAGCCTCTGCTGGCCGCCTGATCATCCCCATGATGTTCCCTGATCTTGCGTCCTTCCCCACTGTCGCTGACCTTGCCACTCACCTCTACGCCCTTGAGACTAGCTACTGCATCGCTAGCACTGAGGCCCAGCTGACTGCATTCCTGCCGCCGCTCTGTGCTACCCTGTACCTTATTGCCACATACCTCCCGGAGCGCCTTGCCACTGCCCGTGACCACTTCCTTAGTCACCACACAGGTGACCTCACCCTTACCGCCTTTATCACCGCCCTGTCCGAGATAGAGACCTGCCAGCGCACTATCGATCAGTCTAGCGGTTCTGCGGCGGTCCCTATCTTTCAGGGCTGTGCTCCCTCCTAGTGCACTTACTCTAATGTTTCTGCCGCTATCGCAGAGACAGCCCCTGCCGCAGAGACCGCCGCTGTGGCCTCAGTTTAGCCGCGTCAGGGTAGGGGCCGCCGCCCCAAGGGGGGGCGTGGCGGAGGGAAGGGTGATGGGGGTGGTGGGGGTGGTGGAGGTGGGGGCGGGGACGGTAGTTCAGACGAGGGGACCGGGGCTGGTGCCCCGGAGCAGCAGCAGTAGCAGCAACACTCGCAGCAGCAGCCGCAGTAGTGGGGCCGCCTCCGCCAAGGTGGCCCCATGCCTCTGGTGGTGGTGGCTGCGGTATCAGCCCTCGCAGCTCGGCGTCGGGTGGTACCTTCGGCTCTGTAGGTTGCAAGTACCAGCTCAAGACTGGCCCTGTCCGCGGTACTGTGTGTGACCGTCCCAGCTACAATCCCGCCCGCTGCTTCCGCCGCCTCGACGACCACTTCCGTCTCTGCGTCTGGTACGCCGCCGTGTTCCGGTCTCTGAGATGGATATGGATCAGTTTTGCTCTGCCTTGCATGCCATGTGTGTTGATGAATCTAGTGTACGCGGAACTTATTACCCTGTGTTGCCTAGAGTAGGTGTGCCACTTGAGAGTAATGTAGGCTCCCCTGCTGCGTCAGGCGTAGGACCGTCTGCCTTGTTTAGCCTAGGCTCCATGCTAGCCCCTTCGTCGACTGCCACCACCGCTTTGCTCACTTTCACACTCGACTCTGGTGCATCTGCCAACTTCTTTCGTGACCACACTACGCTCACGCCGCTTGCCACCCCTGCCGCTGTCGCGCTAGCTGACCCCTCCTCTGGTTTAGTTGCCCGTAGCTCCACTACCCTTCCCTGTCCGGCGGTTCCCTCGGGCTCTCTTACAGGCCTGCACATCCCCTCGTTCTCCAGGAACCTAGTTGGTGTCAGCTGTCTTCAGGACCTCGACGTCACCACTAAGTTCCTCTGACACGAGCGGTATGGGGTCTGTACCGAAGCCGCCATAGGTGCTCCCCTCACCACATTCCCCCGGGACCCAGTGTCTGGCCTGTTTACACTTGACACCGCGTCTCCATTCGTAAAGGCACCTCCCCAGGTGCCTGCGTCTACCCAGGTTGCTGCGGCTTGCTCGTGTCGGTCGCTCGCTCATCGGTCCCTTCTGTGGCACCACTGCCTAGGTCACCTCGCCCTCCCACGCCTACGTCACATGTCCCAGCACGGTCTTGTCATATGTCTCCTTGCGTCGCTCCCTGCCCTCCCTCCCTTGCCTGCGCCGTTGTGCGCGCCCTGTGTCGAGGGCCGGCTGCGTCATGCTCCTCACTCCTCCTTGCTTCGCCCTGCCACTGCACCACTCCAGGCCCTGCACCTGGACGTCTGGGGCCCAGCCCCGTCCCCGGGCCGCGTCGAGAGCGCTAGTTTGTAGTGCTTGTCAACGACTATACGCGCTACACCACGGTGTTTCCCCTGGAGCATAAGGTCGACATTCTTGTCCCATGCGTAGTTGCTGCGCGTGTCCACCGCGGCCTCCCCATGCTGTGTCTCCACTCCGACCATAGTGGCGAGTTTGCCTCCGGTCAGCTTGGCCAGATCTGTCATGCGGAGGGCAGCACCCAGTCGTACACCCCGCCGGACTCCCCGCAGCAGAATGGGGTCGCAGAGCAACGCATCGGTTTGATCATGGAGGTGGCTCGTACCTCTATGATCCATGCCGGTGCACCCCATTTTCTCATCGGTTTGATCTGTGGCCGTTCTCTGTTCGCTACGTCGCTCACCAGCTTAACCTGTAGCCACACTCCCAGCGGCCGCAAATCTCGCCGACCCTTCTCTGGACCGGGTTCCCTGGTGACGCGTCTGCGTTCCACGTCTGGGGCTGCCTTACTCACGTTCGTTCCTCTTGCATGGACAAATTCATTGCCCGCATTGTCCCCTGTGTCTTCCTTGGCTTCCCCCTTGATGCGTCTGACAGACACTTTTACCACCCGCCATCTCAGAGCTTCTTTCATTCGCGTGACGTTAGTTTTGACGAGTCTGTCTCCTACCACCGCTTTCTCCATCGAGGTCTCCTGGTTTCCCCGCCCCTATTTTTGGTTTCCACTCCCCTGGTAGCCCCTGCTCCTCTCCCTCAGTGTCCTGCCCCGTCTGGTGTGTCTCACGCCACTCCCCTCCCGTCGGTTGTTCAGGTCGAGGAGTCGGTTGACTCTGGTGGCCCCGCGGCGCCGTTCTCGCCGTCTGTCTCCGTCCCGGTGTCTCCTCCTTCGCGGTCGCCGCAGCAACAATCGTTGCCGCTGTCGCAGCCACAGCAGCAGCCGCAGTCGCCGCCGCCGCAGCAGCCGCCACCGCAGTGGTCCGCGAGATTTGGGGGTGCGGGCATTGAGCAGGGTGCTAGTCCTGTGTCTCCTGACTCGACGCCTCCGTCCCACTTCTGGTCTCGCCGTCCCTCTCGTGCTCGTCCTGTCTCTCCTGTTCAGCCTTTTCACTATTGAGTGACCCGCTGGTATTACCCTTGAGAAGATCCTCGAGGAAGGGCCACAGGTTCAGAGCCGGGGGGGCTATGGGCGCACTGACCCGCTATTAACAAGCCCTTTTAACCTAGTGGTTAGTGGCTGAGTTTCTGACATGGTATCAGAGCGTTGGTGACTCGGGTTCAGTTCCCAATGCTACGCTGCATAGGCGCTCGTGTCTTCCACCCATCCCAGCGAGGGGGGGTGTCGAGTGACCCACTGGGGTAACCCTTGAGAAGATCCTTGGGGAAGGGCCACCTACGGCCCCGTCGCGCCCCTACGGCCCCTCGCGCCCCTAGCCGGCCCCGTCGCGCCCCTAGCTTGCCCCATCGCGCCCCTACGGCCCCGTTGCGCCCCTATGGCCCTATCGCGCCCCTATGGCCCCGTCGCGCCCCTAGCCGGCCCCGTCGCGCCCCTAGCCGGCCCCGTCGCGCTCCTACGGCCCTGTCGCGCCCCTAGCCGACCCCGTCGCGCGCCTACCGGCCCCTTGCGCCCCTAGCCAACCCCGCGCGCCACTACGGCCACTCGCGCCCCTAGCCGGCCCCGTCGCGCCTCCTACCGGCCCCGTCGCGCCCCTACCGGCCCCTTGCGCCCCTAGCCGTCCCCTCGCACCTCGACGGCCCCTCGTGCTCCTACCGGCCCCCCCGCGTCCCTAGCCGGCCCCACGCGCCCTTGTCAGCCCCGCTTGCCCTAGCCGGCCCCTTGAGCCGCCGAGCCGACGTGTCCCCGAGCCACCGTGCCGCCGAGCCGCCGAGCCGCCGTGCCGACGAGCCGCCGTGTCCCCGAGCCGCCGAGCACCCGCGCCGCGGAGCCGCCGAGCCGCCGTGCCGCCTAGCTGCCATGCCGCCGAGCCGCCGTGCCGCTGAGCCGCCGTACGGCCGCGCTGCCGAGCCGACGTACTGCCGTGTCCCTGAGC